CACTTAAGGAAAAACAAAAAGCAAATAGAAGATTTGGATTTTTTTGTTTGTTTGTTTTAAAGAATATAAGCAATCTTTTTAAGATTGCTTCATTCTTTTCCATTTGCGTATATTTAACTAAGCCTTGGAACAAAACAAATTGCAAATGGGCACATTAGTCATTCAGCCTTGTCTCCCTTCAGAAGAAGGGAATGACTTTCCATCTATTCATTAGAGAATAGTTGTATAGTCCAGAAAAAAAACAATAGAACTTGTTTGCTTCTGTTAAAAATGAGCACAGCTTTATAGTGCAAAACGACAAGTCTAGGTGTCAGTCAACCTCAATGAGAACAAAATCTTGCAGTCAAATAAAAAAGAAAAGTAGTAGCTCTCCAGAGCGGCACCATCCCCGCCGGCTTTCTGGGACAGCAGCAACACGAGACTCACCACAATGGAGGTCAAATCCTCGCTCTCGAAGCGGCCGATTGCCAGTTCCATGGATCGATACATGGCTGCTGAAATCCGCTGCGTGATTAGTCGGTTCAAGTCTATTGACCTGCCAAGAAGCTGAAGGAAAACATTTATGAAGTTTCGAAGCGGATGTCAAGGTACGAGACCAGCTGCACAAAATGGCGAGATTTCACATGCTAAGAGCCTCAGACATGGTGAAATGGCATTCCAAGCACCCCGAAACAGAGCAGCTGGATAAAATCTCCACGAAAAAATACGGTACTGCATTTTACACTCCAAGGATTATAAAAAGAAAGCCGTAAAATTACGTGTTGCATTTACATCCAAGTATTTCTATCACCATTTTATGCTTCTCTGTCATTGTGCTGACAATTTTTAAAACACCATTTAAAAAATAGATAAAAATAAATCATCAGACAGACAATACTACCACATGTGACATTCCTATTTGGCTTGTGTGTGCTTAACCACAAAAGATACTCATTCACATTAAAAAAGGATCTTTCCAACTCGTTGTTCTTTCATAAGACAAAAAGAAATCTATCCCAAATACCAGCTATGCTGCTTAGATGACAGACTATAAAGAATACAAACTGCCTTGCATATTTACATAAATCAACAAAAAATTGCAGAGCAACTCAAAAGCAAAGTTGCTCACCTGCACGTGTCTCTGTTTCAGCAGCGTTTCGTAGCGGTTGGACTGCAGTAACTGAATGGTTGCTCCCTGGTTCTTGCATTCTGAACGCAGCCGTTTATCCAGCAGCAGACTGTTAAGAGAGGAAAAAGGTGCTTAAATCACATTAAACAGCAAATGGGAAAAGAAATACACCAATAAAAGTTCTCACTATAGGAACAGCTACCTGCCAGCCATTGCCTTGTAGTATGCAAATATTTGGTCCGCCAGCTTGTAGACAAATTGATCAAAACACAGGTTTACCTTGAGGAAGAAAAAAAGTGTTTAGAGCTACTTAACACTAAAAGAGGGAGCTTCTTCAAGACTTCTATTGCTTAGCAAAAATAATTCAGGAAGTTAACACATGTTAATTTTCCAGCCCCTCCCACAGGATGATGACATTCAGTCTTCAGCTTTGGTGTAAAGGGTTTCACAGATCTATTTCCTCACAAGGTATCACCTAGAGTTGCCAGTCTTTTGTCTGTCCTCTCAGTTTTTTCGTAATCACCATGTGCTCCGAATCTCTCATAATAAGTCTTTGACTTCAGCATAGTTTTCACGTTCAAGCACAGACTATTTTCCCCCAGTAGGTAAGGTTACTTTACCTCTGCTTCAATTTCATCATACAGGAACTGCTTCTTAAACTTGGTAAGAGCGTAATGAGCACTGTCATTATAAAGGTCCAAAGAATACAGAACATACCTGAATAAAAAAGAACAGAAGGAGTTAC